ATGTTATTTCATATCATTTTAAGGGTATTTATCATAGATTTTGACTCCTTTTGATGATAATTGTGCTTAATTTAGATTAAGAGTCCTTACTTTGAGTTAGTGTCTTTTTGAAGGTAAAATTGTCATAATTGGTTATTAATTGTATTCAATTGATTTCTAAGACAATTGATGCTTCGAATTGTTGCCTTTTATTGTAGGACACTTGAGAATTAGAGCCAAGATTGAAGATCAAAGCATTACACAGCATGAGAGTTTCTAAGAAAATGCTGTGCTGTGGCAAAAAGTCTGAAAATGTGCATCAGTGGCTATTCTGGAATGGTTCGCCGGGTCAAACTTTTGAGTTCGCCGCGGCAAACTCTCAAAATCTCACTACATTTCCTTTCTGGAATAGTTCGTCGCGGCAAACTCTGTCGTATTAGTAACGTCAGATTCGGATCCAGAACACAAAAATAGACCTTCTACTCATATGATCCGACCTAGATGGACCCCAAAAGCCCTTAAAAACCCTATTTTCGACCTATCACTCCATTCTATCATCTCCAACACCTCATTTCTCTCATCTTCTTGCCTCTCCACCTCCATCTTCTTTCCCATCCATTTCCTTCATCTTTCCTTCACTCCATCTCATTTCCTTCCACTCCCAGCTACCATGGCCGACGGATTCACTTCAGTTGGAGCTTTTCTTGAAGCTATGGAGGGCTAGGGTTTATCAACTCTTGAAGATGGTGGAGTAGCCTGAGTTTCCAAGCTTCAAAGGGGAGTTTCAGTTTCAATCTTTAGTTTCTACCTATGTATTTATGATTTCCTAGGTCTAGGATTTGTAAATTCTTAGTAAGACACTTTGGTTGACTCTGTAATCATTGGTTAATGATTTACATTTGTAGTTTGGATTGGTTGATGTTGAATTTTGTGCTTAAATATATGTGGTCACATATATGCTTCTTTGTAACTCTCATGATTCTCTCCTATCTTGCATGGTCATGTTTTGATACTGAGTTGATTATGGGTTACACTGAGCTAATTGCATGATCATTCTCAAATTACACATTAGGGAAGCTTAACAATGTTTTCATTAATGAAGTTCATTGATTTAAACATTGGACTCAATGAGTTATTGAGGTTGTTATTAAGAAAACCTAATGGATTTGTGAAACTCCCAATATCTTAAGTGAACTATGATTGCCATCAAAACCATTTTCAAAAGATTTCTTATCATTCATTTCCATTCCATCATTATTATCTTAAAACACCAAAAATATAGCATCTTAGGTTTGTTTTCATTGCATTTAGTTTAGGCACCATGCATTTAAATCTTAAAAACCCAAAACCCCATTTCATTGCATTGCATGGCATTTAGTCTAGCTTAGGTAATTAATAAAGGCTCCCAAAAGTGAAATGACCTGAGTTTGCACTATACTGCATAGCTTGGATTTATTTTTGATTGAGAACCCCAAGGCGAACGACAAAAGGCTCTCATCAGGAGCATGCTAAGTTTAAGGGGTTTTTGAAAGGGGCCTAGAGGGAGGAGGAGGAGACACATAGAGCCCTTGAGTTGCTGCAAGAACCCTTAAGGAAATGGAATTGGGAAGTGTTTGGAGATCTTAAGAGGAGGAAGAACAGAATTATGGCTTGACTGGATGGAATTCAAAGAAACCTGGGAACCTACAAAAATCCTTTCCTTGATGAGTTGAGTCAGGAGCTGCAGAGAGAGCTTTTAGAGCTACTACTCTAGGAGGAAGTTCACTGGTTTTAGAAATCGAGAGGAATGTGGTTGGAGAACAGGGACAGAAATACAAAGCACTATTATTTAAAAATGATGAGCAGAAGGAGGAGGAATAAGATTGTAACCCTTAAGGATAATGGAGGGAGATAGGTGGATGAAGAAAGTGGGCTAGTAGAAATGGTACAGAAGCATTTTATAGAGCTTTTTACTGAAGAAATACCTAAAAGAGAGTGGTTTATTACCAGGCAGAAATAGGGGTATGTTAGTAGGAGTGTGTTGCTTGGTTTGAATAGAAGGATTAGTAGGGATGAGATAAAGAGGGCGGTGTTTAATATAGGAGCTTTCAAAGCACCGAGAGAGGATGGGTTCCCAGTAGTATTTTACCACACTAATTGGGAGTTGATTGGGGAGAGCATCATCAAGTTTGTAAGGAGTATTTGGGAGGAGAGCCGAAAGTAGAGAGGCCAGAACTTGTATCACAATTGAGATCCATCTCCTTGTGTAATGTGGTGTATAAAGTTGTTTCCAAAATTATTGTGAGTAGACTTAAACCTTTAATAAGTAAGGTGCTCTCCCCCTTTTAAACTAGCTTTGTGCCAAGGAGATGCATTCAGGAGAATATTGTTATTGCTAAAGAGATCTCTCATACTATGAGTAAGATGAGTGGGAGTAGGGGATTTATGGCTATAAAGATTGATTTGGAAAAAGCATATGATAGAATGAATTGGAGGTTTTTTATGAGAGATTTTGAAGAAATGGGTGTCACAGGAAGATTCATGGGATTCATTAAAGCTTATGTCAATTCAGCTACATTTCAGGTTTTATGGAATGGAACAAAGTCTACTCAGTTTACTCTTTCAAGAGGGGTAAGACAGGGGGACCCTTTGTTTCCTTATCATTTTATGCTCAGCATGGAAAAGCTCTTTCATATAATAGCTGACGCGGTAGAAAAAAAAAGGTGGAAGCCTTTGAGATTAGGAAGGAGGAGAGTACCCATTTCCCACCTTATGCTCGCAGATGATCTATTGCTTTACTGTGAGGTGGATAAAGAGCAGATTAAGGTGGTTCTGGACTGTCTTAAAGTGTTCATTGCTGTCTCGGGGCAAAATGTGAACCCCTTAAAGACTACGATTTATTTTTCAAAGAATGTTAGTACGGCCAAACAAAAAGAGATAACTGAGGCCTATGGGTTTAGAAGGAAGGAGGACATTGGGAGATATTTCGGGGCTTATGTGAAGAGGGGAAGGAACTCAATTCAGAATTTTAGCTTCTTAATTGATAAGGTGCAGAAAAAGTTGAGTAGATGGAAGAGAAGTTGCTTATCACTCACAGGCAAATTAACCTTAGTGTAATCGGTTTCCCAACAAATACCAATCTTTCATGTGTTGCACGAGAACTTACCAAAGGGAGTGTGTCAACAGATTAAAAAGCTATAACGAGAGTTTGTGTGCGGACAAGAAGGTGAGGGGAGAAAGGCACACCCAATAAGATGGAAGAAAGTGGGAGGTTTTGGACTAAAAGAGTTGTAAACAATAAATGATGCCCTTCTATATAAAGTAGGATAGGAGATGATTGCAAAGCCGAATAAACTTGTGTCAAAAGTGCTTGATGTAAAGTATAGAAGAAAGGCTAATTTAACTAAAGAATGTGTCGTAAAGCAGGGAGACTTAATTATTTGGAAAAGACAAGGGGAGTTGTGGCAAAAGATGGTAGTGGATATAGGTTGGGAGGTGGGAAATGGGACAAAAATAAGTTTTTGGGAAGATAAATGGGTTTCTAACGAGGTTATCTTAAGTGAAAAGTGTAGGGGTACGCTTGTGGGTGAGGATGGTAACTAGAAATTGGGGAAGCTGTACAGATAAATGCCTGACAAGTATGTGGAGTGGATTCAAGCGATCCCTCCTCCTAACTCAAATGATTCGCAAGACACAATTAGATGAGTTCTGATGGTAAGTATAAAGTTTCTAACATGTACAATTTGCTTAAGGGTTTTGATAGTTTGAATAGAAACAAATTGTGGAATTTGATCTGGGATTGGAGAGGACCTAGACATGTGCAAATTTTATTATGGGTAGTGGTGAATGGTGGTCTTTTTACCTCTGTTAAAAGGTGAAGGATTTTGAAAACTTCTCCCTTGTGCTTGATCTGTAAAAGGAAAAAGGAGGATGCATTACATATGTTACTGGACTACCCTATTGCTAGAAAGTTTTGGGTGGAGTTGTTGAAAGGCAGTTGTTGGGATAATTTCTTTTCTCTGCCCTTATATGCTTGGCTAGTAGAAAATTTATACAGGAAGAAGAGGTGTTAGCATGAATGGGATCTGGTTTTTGCTATTGGTATCTCGATGTTGTGGAGATGGAGAAATGTTTGTTTGTTTGAATAGGATTTTTGTAGGTCAAGCAGGCTGGTAGATGTAGTCTTTCAATTTGTTAAAGAGGTTAGAGAAGCAAGGGAAGTTAAGGAAGAGAAGGGAATCAAGAGCTGTGCAATGGTGTAGTGGGAAATACTGGAAGCTGTGGTAGGGAGGAATAAGGTGGCAGGTTGTAGGGGTGTGTATAGGGACCATGAGGGAAATTGGTTGGGTGGATTCTTGAGGAAAATAGGAAGGTGCAACACAGAGGATGTGGAGATGTGGGGATTGAGAACTGGGCTTAAGTATCTGCGAAAATTTAATGGAAGAAAGGTGATTATAGAATCTGATTCCTTAGTGGTTGTAAGGAAATTGGAGCAAATGGTACTTAATAGAAAAGGTAGCAGTAACCTCATGGGGAAGGTGAATGAGGCGTTAGGTGATGGTTGGGAGATGCGTGTCAAACACATCTTCAGAGAAGGAAACATGGTGGCCGATTGTTTGGCTAAAAGGAGTATAAGTCAAACCTATGGCTCCTACTAGTTGGAAAATCCTCCTAGCGATCTGATTATTTGGATTGAAAGAGATAGATCAGTTGGGCCTCAGCCTCACCATTAGTGTAAGTAGTTTGGACTTTTGCCCCTTTTTTGCAGGGAAAAAAATACATTATTGTCTATATGATAGCACAATGTCTCAAAGGGGAATCAAGTCCATCATAACTGACCTTGTAGGAGGTGACAGGCTAAACGAAGATAATGACAGCATATGGCATTGTAAGATATCATATGTCCTTCAAGAATAAGAAGTCATTGATGTGTTGATAACTTTTCTTCTAAAGCTTGAGGTGAATGCATCACAAAGGGACTAGGATGGCTATGTGACCTCAAAAAGAAGGGATACTATCACCAGAATCACTATGCTTAGCACCATGCCTGACAATAACATACCCTTCTGTTTCTGCCATATGAGTGGTACTAAAAATTGAGTTTGATGGTACCTTTGCTGCAAGGCTTAAGAGACTCACTATCAAAACTTGACAATGTCAAGTTAGGTCCTAACACTCCTATGAGGCATCAAGTAAGGGCAATAAAGAACTTAATAAGGGAGCTTAAGGAAGCCGGAGGCACCTTATCTGATGAGCAACAAATTCAAGCTGTCATGAAATCTCTTCCAGCTAGTTGGGATACCATGAAGCATATTATTACTCATAATGAGACTATAAAAACCTATGCTGTTGTAGCGCACCACCTCCAACTAGAGGATGACCAAATGGAGACTAAGAACCTTGTTAATAAAGCATATTTAACTGAAGGAAATGGGAGATCATCCCCCTAAAACCAGTCTAAGAGAACTAAAGGCTCTCAGAATAAGAAAAGCAACCTTAAAGTGGAGAAGGGAAATAATTCCCTCAAGAAAGGCAAGAAATCTATAAAAAAAAGTGGAACATAACAACCATCAAATGCTATGCTTGCCAGTAGAAAAGAACTACCTTGAGTAGAAAAAGGTATTAAATTCAGATTCCATACATTTCTCTTATGTTCCTAGCACTACATTTATTGTTGAAACTAACCCTATATGGGTTATAGACTTAGGGGCAACAAACCACGTAAGCAAAGATCATGACAACTTCACCAAATTTTGTTGGTTATCAGTAAGAAGTAGATGGCTTTATATTGGGAACAACATAAGAGTAAAAGTCAAAGGGATCGACACTTGTGAACTAACCCTAGATAGAGAAAAAACCCAAATCCTGCAAAATGCTCTCTGTGCTCTGGATATTCTGGTGAAATCTTGTGTTTGTTATTTTTTTAGTTAAATTACATTTCAATGTCTTTTTCCATGATTTCATCGTAGACATTTCATATGGGACCAATTTTTTAGTTTCTGATTATGTTTTGGATAGTTTCTTTGTTATAGAGAATTTTAATAACAATTTTAATTCTAGTTCTTTCTATGCGCTTTCGTCCGATGTCAATTATGATATCTGGCACGCTAGATTAGGACATATTAGTTAAGAACACATAACCAAACTAGCAAAAGAGGGTTTGCTAGGAAATGTGTCCAAAAAGAAAATATCTCTATGTGAATATTGCCTGGCTGACAAGAGCACAAGGAAACCTTTTGGAAAGTCAACTAGGGCTAACCACACTCTTGAATTGGTATACACTCTCATATTTACAGACCAATGAGTATCAGGGGACATTAGGGAGCAGGATATTTTATTACCTTTATTGATGACTCTTCTCGATATAGCTATACTTACCTGACTTTCCACAAATCTAAGATATTAGAGTGCTTTAGAAAATATCTCAATATAATGAAGAATCAGCTAAGTTGCAAGATCAAAGCCTTAAGAACTTACAGAGGTCACGAATACCTCTCTAATCAGTTTAAGGAGTTTTGTGAAGAAAAGGGCATTGTTAGGCAACTAACAATCCTTGGAACTCTTTAATAAAATAGAGTTGCTAAAAGGAGGAATAAAACTCTCATTAATATGGTTAGATCAATGATGACAGCTGAGCTACCAACATCATATTGGCAAGATGCTCTTCTACCTGCCACATTCATGCTTAATCAAGTACCTTCTAAATTAGTCACTACAACCCTTTATGAATCATGGACAAGCTACAAATCAGATCTAAGTATCCTAAGTGTAACATCCCGACTTTTGGGCCTAGAAGTACCAGAAATAGCCTGAATTGGATGGGCTACTAGACCCCTATTAACAGAGGTCCCAAAGACGAGAAAGGAAGTTAAAGCAGTTTTAGGGACTAAACTACAAAGTGAAAGTTTTAAGGGGCTAAAGTGTAATCAAAGTTAGAGGCTCTAGTAAAGTCTTAAGGGCCCCAAAAGAGAAAATAGGCTAGATACAGGCCAAAGGTTAAATTAGAAGCCTCAAAGAGACGGTTTTATGAGGTTGAGCCTAAAGTATAGAAAGAATGTGAGCAACAGTGACAAAATGCTTAAAAGCAAAGGCCATGCTCATATAAGTGACAGAAAAGTATAGAACGACAAGTCATGTAAGTATGAATTTCAAGGTTGAGACCTGACAACGAGGTATAATGAAAAGTAGTAAGATTTAATTAACCTTAATGTTGAGTGTTGCATTGATTGCTATGCAATTTCATGTGTTATTATGTGGTTGAGATAGATGATGATGAAAGTGTATAAGCATGAATGGGAAAGAGTAATCCCAAGTTATGTATGCTAAAGAAATAAAAAGAATTAAAGTAAAGAGGGGTTAAAAAAAGGATGTTTCACTAAGACCATAGGGATTAGCAGCCTAAAACCATGATTTTTCCCGTAAATATGACAAGTTAGAACTAAGGGGCAAAAATTGGATCTTCATAAGGTACTCTAAGAACTTTAAGAGATACATCTTCATTGGTGAAAATGATAATGACTCGGTGACTAAGATAGAGTCAAGGGACACAACATTCATAGAAGCCAAATTTTCAAGTAGAGGGAGTATTGATTGAATAAACTATCTTTATGAAAATGATAGCAATAAGGTACAACAAAGTATTCCTTAGTCTACTAATCTAAGTTGGAGGGTTGAACCATTTTCACAACAAAGTTTGACCCAGCCACGGGAAGAAAGTCATGTGGCAACCATACTTAGGAGAAGTAACAGAGACAAAACTCCTAAGAGACGCTTTTCAGTTGAAGGAGCAACTTTCATTGTCAGTCTAAAAAATGATGAAGATGACCCCGTAAGTGTTGAAGAAGCACTAACACGGTCTACTAAGGAAAAATGGCAAAAGACCTTACAAGAGGAAATGAATTCCATGGAGTCCAACCAAGTATGGGAGTTAGTTGATCTACTGCTTGGCTGGAAGGAAATTAGGAGCAAGTGGGTTCTCAAGTATAAACACAAGGCTAATGGATCAATTGTTAAACTCAAAGCAAGATTAGTTGCCAAAGGGTACACACAATGGGAATGAGTGGATTATGGAGGTACTTTCTCACCTATTGTATATTTTAACTCGATACGATTGATACTAGTCCTAGTAGCAAGTTTATACTTAGAATTGCATCAAATGGATATAAAAATAGCTTTTCTAAATGGAGAACTATATGAAAAAATCTATTTGGAACAGCCTAAGGGCTTCATACAGAAAGGGAAAGAACGAAAGGTTTATAAACTCTTAAGATCCATTTATGGACTCAAGCAATCATCTAGGCAATGGTACTTGAGGTTTCACAAAGTTATAAGCTCCTATGACTTCGAAATGATCAAGGAAGATCAATGTGTTTATATCAAATAGTTTGGAGACAATTTTGTCATTCTATCCCTTTATGTCAATGATATACTTCTAGTTGGTACCAATCTCAAACTAATCAAGATGATCAAGGAGTGGTTATCCTTGAACTTTGAGGTGAAAGACATGGGTGAAGCAGAATATATCTAAGGCGTTAAGATAAGAAGAGATCATTCTAGAAAATTGCTGTCATTATCACAAAAGACATATATTGCAAACATCCTTGAGCATTTCAAAGTGAGAGACTATAAGCCTATGGATACCCCTGTGGTGAAGGGTCACAACCTAAGTGAGCAATTGTGCCATACAAAACAATACGATATAGAATGTATAAAGAAAGTTCCATACTCAAGTGTCATTGGCAACCTAATGTATGCTATGTTGTGTACCAGGTTGGATATATACTTCACGGTGGAACTTGTGAGCCGATTCCGATCCAATCCAATCCAAGAGCAAAAGTGTGCTATCAAGGGAATGGCCTTCATGTGAAGGGTTACTTTGATGCTAACTAGCCAGGAGACCTAGACGAACGACACTCGATATCAGGCTATGCATTCCTATTAAACAACAAAGCAATCTCTTAGAGTAGTAAGAAGCAAATGTGTGTGTCTCTTTCATCTACGGAAGCAGAATATGTAGTATTATCTGCGGCTATTTAAGAAGCTGTATGACTCAAGAGATTCTTAGTACAATTAGAAATCCATGGTGGTAGTGAGGGACCAACTCTAATTCATTGTGATAGTCAAGCAGCAATAGCCTATGCAAAAGACCTTAAATACCATGATCGTACTAAGCATATAGACATAAAATATCACTTTATAAGAGATATGATAGCCAAGAAACAAGTGACTATTCAATACTTATTTAGTCATAAGATGTTGGCAAATCCCTTAATCAAGCCTATAGCTAGAGATCCTTTTGTCAAGCATGTAAAGGCTTTAAGTATACGTAAAGCATAATGTATTGAACCCTTTTTTCTTTTTAATACTTTTCGTTTAATTGTGTAAGCACAAGGCATGCTGTATTAAACCTTCTTTTTCCTCTTGCTTAGTAATCAAATGCAATTTATCTAGTTTAAAATTTTCTTGTATATACATTTGTGTATTTATACATGCATAGGGGCAAGGTATGTAACATCAATACATCATACAGCTCACAAGGTTAGCTTACTCACAGAGGCAATCACCTCACTATGTTCTTATGGGACATAGAAGGTATGATAGTGGATGATCACTGTGAGATGATAGAGAAGAATCACCACACAAATGTCTCCTTGACTAAACTGAGATAAGACCCATAAAAGTCTAGGCTGAATCATGGATAATGTGTAATCCATGATACCTGTTGCCAAACAAGGAACTCTTCACTTATAGGACGTCATATAAAGTTGTGATAGGAGAGATCTTGGTTCAGAAGTTAAAGTGCATTTAGAACTTAAATATGTACAGTGCTACTAAAACCAAGACCAACATACTCCACTTAGTGGATCAAGCACCATAGCAGGCAATTTATACTACATAAGCTCACTTAATCAAATCACAACATGGGATGTATATGGAGGATCCCTGATCCATTACGGTGTGAGTCCCAGAAAGAAAATAAACCTTTCATAATATCCTCAAGACTTAAACAACATCATAAGGGTCTAGTTTAGTGACAGCTACTCTAGCTTAAATCCCATAGTCAAGAATGATTCGATCTAACGGGTCAAGACTGGGAAGGTGACTATGCCAAATCTAAATAATGAATAGTCAAAAAGAAGATTTATCCTAAAGTACACAGCTACGATGGTATCTATGACATGTCCCTTGCAGGTTGAACAGAATGATTAAGCAAGTGTGGACACCAATGTATAAGAAGGCAATCTGAGTAAACAAAATAGTTCGAGAGGATTAGATATGCCTTGAGTAACATGTATGGATAAAACTAAGGCATTCAAGGCAACATGCATATGATTTGCAAGTACATCCAGAGTGTCCTTGTGTGCTGATCCTATATAAAGGACTCTAGTGCACAAGTACCCAAATCGAGGACGTCATGCCCACGCGGTCATGGAAAACACCTAATATGAAGCAATGAAAGATACAGCAATCGCATGATGGATAGCCTATCAAGTGTGAGTGGGAGATGTTGGGTTTTTGAGCTTGGATCCGCCATTGATGGGCTAGACTATTTAACTGGATATTAAGAGAATTTTCCGGTCAAATATCCAAGTAAGATTATGATATTTTTGACTCAATCAAATATCTTGAATCAAATCCAATTGGTTACGATATAAATTTAAATTAATTTATATTGTATAGATTAAACATATATATATATTAGAGATGTATATATTTAGAATTAATTATGGTTGATTCTAGATTTAAATTCAAATTCATAATCTTATCAGTTCAAGAGATATTTGAATATTTGAATTCAAATTCAAACTGAAAGGTTCAGTAGATATTTTGGCTTTCTAAAATACCCCCAGCCAAAGCTATAAATACTTCACCCATTAGTTCAACTTACTCCAGTAGTTGAGCTTTCCTACTATCTCTCTTTCTTTTTTATTCTTTCTTGCTAAGAGGTGCTCTGCTGTGCACTTAAAGCTTAGACTTTTAAAGTCTAACTTATAGCGTGAACTCAGAAGATCCACCCAACTTGATCCAAGATCCGACTCGATACGTTTCGTGGTCCCATCTATTATTTATCTGACATATAAAAACAATGATAATTAAGAAATCAACAAATATAGATAAGAAAATTAATAATACATTAGGGAATTAGGATGTAAACAGGTGTATTATATATAAATATATAGATACATATTATACCATATAATTAAAAGGATTTGATGGCTAGTGCATTAACTTGTTGGTGTGTGAGGAGGTCCTCAGTTGAAACTCCTTGGCCAACTTCTCTGAAAAAATTCTTTGGCGGCCAGCACTCCGGTGTCGATTGGCAATTGGCGGTGGTTGACACAAGGCATTTTGTCATTTCATGTTAAACTATAATTTCATTTTTATTTTTAAATACTAAAATGAAATTATAGAATTATTTGGGGTCTATGGATATTAAATTGCTACCGTAGTTCTTGAATCCCTATATTTTATAGTTTATCCTGATTTAAAATTGAAAATATTAATTACGAGCCTAAAATCCTTGCACTATACAAAAATTTAATTTTAAAAATATTAAATATGTCTAGCGGTAAAATTGTAACCATACAAAACGTGATCATGAGATTACCGAAATGAGACATTTAATATTAAGTTGTTGGCATAAACGACATTTCATATTAAAAGTTAAAGAAGTTATTTGTACCAGGCTTAAAGGGGAATTTGATGTAATTTAACATAATTTTAATTGTTTAATTTAGCCCAATTAAAATTTTAATCTTCTGACAAACTGATCATGTGAATAAAAAACGTTTAATTTTAAATTGTAACTCCTTTTGAATTTGATTCTAACATTCTAGGACAAAAATAAACAGAACTAAATATTGCAGATATAGATCTGTGCATCTTTGTTGTTGTTACTTGTTAGTTTATTTTTTTAATTGGGTAAATTAATATTTAGACGTAAAAAAAAAGAGAATTACAATGAGACTCTAAAAAAGAAAAATAATTATAAAATAGGTTTTAAAAGTTGTTATTTTATATTCTGAAATTGGTCATCACAAGCTATCTAGATTATTATTAAGACATTTTAGTAATCATTTTTTTTATCTCATTATAATTCTCTTTTAAAAAAGCTTATAAAACCCACACGGGTTATAAACTAATTTTATGTGCAGAAAGCACCTTTTTTTTTTTTTTTACCAGCAGTGCAGAAAGCACCTATATATAATATATATATATATATATATATATATATTGCCGCCAGAAAGGACCTTTAATGCCTCTCACAAAGGCTCTTTATCATCATTAAGAAAGCATATGCAAAAGGCATTTGGGCTCGGTTATTCTCCCTTAAGATAGCATATGCAAAAGGTATCTGGCCTGGGTTATTATCACAACAACTAATGTGAAAAAAGTTTTTTTTTTTCCTTAAGAATTGTTACGTTTTTGAGATTGATAATTTGTTGTAGAAAAGTTAACAGCATGTGATGAGATGTTCAATATATACTCCTCTGTTCTTAATATATGACCTAATTATTGAGTTGATTTTGATCTTAAATATAAAACTTAATTTTAATATTTATCAGTTTTTCCTAAATTATCCCTATTGATACCCCTTCAACCATAATTAAGTAAAAGAGAGAAGAAGGATATTAAGGAAGATGATTATGGTGTTTTACAAAAAACATGTCATATTTATTATAATTAACCAACTTATATAACTTCCTTAGTTTAATCAAATTAGTTAAATAGGTCTTATATTAGGGACCGGATGAATACTACTACTTTCTGTCCTAAATATGAGATAAAAGCTAGTTAAAAATTTAATTTGGTTTTAAACACTACTTTCGGTCCTTTATATAAGAATTTGTTTGACTTTTATTTTAATCCTAAATATAATATCTCAGTCTATTTTGTCTATTAGATTTATTTATTTTTTTTAAAGATGGTCTTTATAATAATAATAGTTCTAGCCAATAGACTTTATTAGCAAAAATATTTTAAGAAAGACAACACCTATTTATTACAATTAACTAACTTAATTAATTTTCTTAATCTATTCAAATTAGTTAATTAACTCTTATATTAAAGATTGAGGGTAGTATAATATTTCAATCTACTTTATCTACGATATTTATTCATTTTTCTCCATAATAGTCCCGTGATGAGTGCGCATATTGGAGAGATTTCATTCTAATACATATGATTAACAATAATATTTTTAAAAAATAACACTTATTTATTATAAATAACTAATTTATTAATATTTTAATACTCATAAATTAGTTATCTAATTTTTATGTTAAGTACATGAGGTAATAAGTTATGAATGATATATTGATGACAAAAAAAAAAAGAATAGCATTTTTTTCTGCTTGCTATAAATAGCGTGATTTACTTATTAAACTTTATATAATATATGCGATTTGTAATATTAACAAAATTTACACAAATTACTATTTATGTTTATGAATTATAGAAATTGTAAATAGCATGACGCTATATATAAGCTGAAAATGGGGCCCCCTCTTAAATTTAAATTAATATTAATTGGATTTGACGTACAGAAGTTTCGCAGCCCTAGTCGTTTTTTCTGCATGCGGACCTCTCTACAACAGCCTTTGTTTTGGGAAAGTTTGATTTTTTAAAACGAAGGTTTTTTTATAAATCTAAAAAGAAATTCTCACCGAACAAATTACTAAATGAAATTAAATTATTTTCCCTTTTATTTCACGCACATACCAGTCTCTGCCCAAAACAAAGAAAAAGGTGAGAAGCCTAAAATTCACTCGGCGCCTGCCACGTGTACGCCAACAGTTCCCGATTCTCTATTTATAGAACCCGCGAGTGCTTCGGGGAAGAGCACCAGCAACTCTCAAAGCCAAAGAGGAGTGAGAAAGAGGCAGAGGGAATCACAGTTCAAGCTTTTCTTCTCCTTTTCCGAAAATGTTCATTGAGAGTTTTAAGGTCGAGAGCCCTAATGTGAAGTACACAGACTCTGAGATTCAGTCTGTGTACAACTACGAGACCACTGAACTTGTCCATGAAAACCGAAATGGCAAGTATCAGTGGATCGTCAAGCCCAAAACTGTCAAATACGAATTTGTGACAAACACTAACGTCCCTAAATTAGGGTTCGTTCTTGAATCTTCCACCTCATTTTTTTACATTTTCTTCGATTCAATGCTCCATACTGTTATTAACTGTGATTTAATCGTTTGTATTTCGTTTTCTATTCGTTGATTTGTTGATCTTTAGGGTGATGCTTGTTGGTTGGGGTGGAAACAACGGTTCTACGCTCACTGGTGGTGTTATTGCGAACCGAGAGTAAGCTTCATTCTGCCTTTTTGGTGCCGCACTAGATCTCGATCCTTGTAGGGTTGCACTGATCACGATCACGACTCTGTGATTAGTTTTTAATAATTTTAATATAAATTGATCGTTGATGATTTTTACACGAAAGAAACTTTATTAATTTTTTTGGGTCCATTTTGTAAATAGGGGTATTTCGTGGGCTACGAAGGACAAAATTCAACAAGCCAATTACTTTGGCTCCTTAACCCAGGCATCAGCCATCAGAGTGGGGTCCTTCAATGGCGAGGAAATTTATGCCCCATTCAAAAGCCTGCTTCCTATGGTATGCCGTTATATGAGAGAAATCTGCATGTTTGAGATAAAATTTAAGACAGATTTTATAGGATACTGTGAAATGAGCATTCAAAATACGTTTAATGATTAATGGGTGTTTCATGATATATGCAGGTGAACCCAGAAGGCATAGTATTTGGAGGATGGGATATTAGTGACATGAATCTGGCTGATGCGATGGCAAGAGCTAAGGTGTTTGATATTGATCTGCAAAAGCAGCTTAGGCCCTACATGGAGTCCATGGTTCCACTCCCTGGAATCTATGACCCGGATTTTATTGCTGCCAACCAAGGTGATCGGGCCAACAATGTGATTAAGAGCACTAAGAAAGAACAAGTTCAACAGATCATCAAAGACATAAAGTAACTGCAATAATGTTCATATAACTGCAATACTTTCTAATATTTTTCAGTTTAGAAATTTACTGAATGGACCACTTTAATCAAATCATGTGAAGGGAGTTTAAGGAAGCCAACAAAGTCGACAGGGTGGTTGTGCTTTGGACGGCCAACACTGAGAGGTACAGTAATGTCATCGTGGGGCTGAACGATACCATGGAAAACCTCTTGGCTGCTTTGGACAGGAATGAATCTGAGATTTCTCCTTCCACTTTGTATGCCATAGCTTGTGTTCTGGAAGATGTGCCTTTTATCAATGGAAGCCCTCAGAACACTTTTGTCCCAGGTACATTACTTGTGGCTTCCTGAATTGTATTTGCTACTTGGATTTTCAAAATATGAACCAAGATTGAGGACTTTACTCATTTTTTATCAGGCCTGATTGACTTGGCGATCCAGAGAAACAGTTTGATTGGTGGTGATGACTTTAAGAGTGGTCAGACCAAAATGAAATCTGTGTTGGTCGACTTCCTTGTTGGGGCTGGTATTAAGGTAAGTCAGTACCGTTGAATTTATTAATTTCTTGAGAGCAAATAAAAGTTGGCAAAGGAGAAGTGTACTGATTTCAAATGTTTTGGTTATGAGTGACAGCCAACTTCCATAGTGAGTTACAACCATCTGGGAAACAACGATGGGATGAACCTCTCAGCTCCACAAACCTTCCGTTCTAAGGAAATCTCCAAGAGCAATGTCGTTGATGATATGGTCAACAGCAACGCCATCCTCTATGAATCTGGCGAGCATCCTGACCATGTCGTTGTTATCAAGGTAATATTTACTTTTGCCTCCCCATTTTGGCTCAATCTTTGTCTAGTTGTCTGCTCTTACGCCTAATCCTCTTTTTCTTTGACTTTTGTAGTATGTGCCTTACGTGGGAGACAGCAAGAGGGCCATGGATGAGTACACTTCAGAGATATTCATGGGTGGAAAGAACACAATTGTGATGCATAACACATGCGAGGATTCCCTATTGGCTGCTCCCATCATCTTGGATTTGGTCCTCCTTGCTGAGCTGAGCACTAGAATCCAGTTCAAAGCTGAAGGAGAGGTTTGTGTGCCCTTTTTAGTTGTATCATTTGTTGGTAATGAAGCATTTCTAAATTGTACAGAATACAGAGCTCACAATTATGGGTTTTACAGGGCAAGTTCCATTCCTTCCACCCAGTCGCAGCCATCCTCAGTTACCTCACCAAGGCTCCTCTGGTGAGTCTAAACATAACTTAATTCAATTGGTTCTTAACAGATAAATTATAGTTAAAGTTAAGGTATTAATAAATGGTTTGTGGGTGTCAATATTTCAGGTCCCACCAGGTACACCAGTGGTGAATGCATTGTCAAAGCAGCGTGCTATGCTGGAAAACATCATGAGGGCTTGTGTTGGATTGGCTCCTGAGAACAACATGATTCTGGAGTACAAGTGAAGATGGACTGGTTTCCCAGTTCCTTTATGAATATGTATTCGCATGATTTCGCTTGTGTAATATCTGGCAAATGTGTATGTTTTCAGCGTTCCGTTTTTTAGTTTTTGCAAGGGCTGCTCCTCTTGTGCGTAGCTTGCCCTGTTATCTGCTTTTGCTTATTTTATTTAAGAGCAGGCAATCTCAAGTGTTTTAGATGAAAGTAAATGCAAGTATTTTCTATATATTTTCTGGAACTTCCATGTTAGTTGTCTTATTTTTCTTTTTTAATTGAAGTGGAAAATCAGCATCTTGCTGCTATAATTAATCAAAAGGGTAATATGTGCAGCCCGAAACCATGGAAGAAATAGTGACAGCGGTTACAAAACCAATTCATAATTCATTCACAAGTATTATAACTCACTATCATGAAAAGAACATTTTGATAAACTAGCATGACCCAATAGTTATGCAATGGAGACATGGGGAAGTATAGAATTAACTAACTTTTTTTTTTTTTGGGGGGGGGGGTGTTCCTCAGAACTTGGAAAATGAACTTGTTGTCCAAAACTTGGGAAGAGTGAGTCTTTCTATTGGTTTTATCTGTAATGTTGATTGCTGAGCTTGTGCATTGGAATGTGGGATTAATTGGTTTCTGCAATACACTTAAAATTAAGAGATTTTTTACTTGAAAAATGGTCTTAATAAGGCAGAAGAACAGCAGTAAAGACAACATGAGTTGTAAGAGTTTCTCTATGATCTAATTTATTTTGTTCACTCGATGCTACATAAGGAAATTAGCAGAAATTATGAAAATTAATTTAATTAATTATTTATAAAAAAAAATTGATGTTGATTTTCTAAAACACTTTTTTGGTAGTTTGTATTGAAAACTCCTTAATAAATGTAATTAAAAGAATAGTTAAAAAACATGTTATAAATTTCATAACCAAAGTGGATTGAGGTAAAGCCCTCAATTAATTACTTCATGCATTCAGTACCAAAGAAAGTATGACTTTATCTCTTTTAACTTTTAAGATTGAGACAATCAACCTACCCTATAAAAGCAAACGCTCATATCCATGAACATTTCTCAACTATCGTCAATGCGCAGAAACGAACAAGAGCAGGAAAAGAAGGAAATTAATAATGCAAAACAGAGTGGGGACAATGCATATGAGGTAATAGAGGGAAGTAGGAATTGATGGTGAGGAAGTAAGTGGGGTCACGGAAGTGTCTGGTTTGAGAGGAAGCGTTTAAAGTTAAAAGAACAAAAGATTCGAGAGAGAGAGAGATAGATCAAAAAGGGAGAAAATTTCCAAATGACTTTATTCAAAGAGTTTACTTTTCAGCGCAAGCGGGGCAAATGTGGGGATGGCAAATGTGCGGTCGTCGTTGGGAAGTTAAGATTCCGCTGTTTTAGTGCACTGCCACTCCATATTCATGCTCTTTTGTCCGTTTCTCATTATAGTTTCTCTCGTATCTTCTTGCCGTTTAAATTTGCTTCAATTTGGACCATTCAATTCTTCCTACTTTCCCTCGTTTCTTATAATCATGTGAATCTGCTGTATTGCTTGGGCATGCGATATGGAAGAATTACATTACTCTTGGGTAAAATTGATTTTTTTTGTCCTTATGGTTTCTATCAAATTTTAACTAAGTGTTTGTAGTTTAAATGTTTTCAATCAAACCCCTTTAAATTCAACCTTAGTCGTATTTATGAAATTTAAGATAAAACTCCTCTCACATACTTATTTTATATTCTGTAAATTATTATTGAAAAGTTGCTTTCAAAGAATCACACCGCCGTTCCCACAAGCATTTAGCCCCTTACCATTGAAACAATTTTGCCCCTGATAGCAGTTATCAAATGTGGCTGCATTGTAGATACGAAAAATGACGGAGGATTTGGCTCATATAATTCCTGGTTATTTTGGTCAAAGTTTTTGAAGATGATGTGTCCCTGATCTCTGGTAATGATACTTGATAATAGCAAAAATTTCGATCAAAGTTAACCACAACTATAGAGATTAAATTGATTTCCATTAATAGGATAATGATAAAAATTGTATTTTACGAAAACCAACACATTTATTAAAAATAATTAATTTTACTGATTTTGTTAATATCCATAAATTACTCCTCTTAGTCCTATTCATGATGCAAGGAGAGGAGATTATTTTCGTCCCACAAGTCATATTATTAAATTTTCTATATTAACATACAATTTTATTCAAAAGGTATAGTGCATATTGAATAAGATTAAAGTTTAAAAATGGGAAAATTTCAATGTAGGACCGCACAAGACAATTAATCTCAAAGAGCCCCCAAAACTTTCTGAAATCTCACTGCAGGACCAAGAGGCCAATTTGATATTAATTCCACAAACGAAATGACGCCACTACCCTTAGCATCAGGTGAACCAGTCCACATGTGAACGGACTGATTCCACGTGTGAATATATGTATTTATTCTACAAATTGGCTAGTTCCCCTTGCAAATGCGCTCTCCCGCACTTGTTTCCTCACGAACGCATGCATCAGGTGAACCAGTCCACATGTGAACGGACTGATTCCACATGTGAATATATGTATTTATTCTGCAAATTAACTAATTCCCCTTGCAAATGCGTTCTCCCGCACTTGTTTCCTCATGGACGCATGCATCAGGTGAACCAGTCCACATGTGAACGGACTGATTTCACGTGTGAATATATGTATTTCATCTGCAAATTAGCTAGTTTCCCTTGCAAATGCGCTCTTCCGCACTTGTTCCCTCACGGATGCATTCATCAGGTGAACCAGTCCACATGTGAACGGACTGATTCCACGTGTGAACATATGTATTTATTCTGCAAATTGGCTAGTTCCCCTTGCAAATGCACTCTCCCGCACTTGTTCCCTTCTACTAGGGGCGGTGTCGTCATTTCGTTTGTGGAATTAATATCAGATTGGCCCCTTGGTCCTGCAGTGAAGTTTCAGAAAGTTTTGGGGGCTCTTTGAGATTAATTATCTTGTGCGGTCCTACAGTGAAATTTTCCCTTTAAAAATTGTTAAATTTTAAGACTGTAATTCTGATAAAATATATTAAGAATAGCTTATAAATAAGATTTAGTATTTATTCAACCTTTCTATTTATGATGGGAGGGAGTGATTTTCAAGTAGACCAAAGTCCTTCTAACGATTGGAATCTGGGTTCGTGGAGGTAGGGCTGGGCCGCGGAGACGGGGATTGTTTAGTGAATGGATTGCCCGGGGATTGCGATCTGCAGCACGAGGGAATCTTTGGGCAATAGGATGAGCACTGTATAAGAACCTTTGTTTAAGAGGCTTGTAGAGTATCTATAAAATTTTTAATGCCTCTGTCTTGTTTGTACTTGCAAGTTTTTGCCAAATATCTGATAGAAGAAGTGTCAACTTGTGGGGAGAATTATTTGCGCGTGATCATATGGGTGTGAGGCCAGGATGTTTACATGAGGAGAATCGAGATTACAAAACAGTGTTTTTTTTTTTTGGGGGGGGGGGTTGAAGACATATTTAGTCACCTCAAACATAGAACAAATCAGGAAAATTGGAGAAAAATGTCGAAGGACTTCATAAATGTTTACAAACGCAAAATATTGGTCACATTATGCACCCATGAAATATCGGTACCTTGGTTTAGATATTTTTTGCTAATAAAATTTTCAATCAAGGATTTTTTCTAATTTTTCCAACAAACTATAATACACACACATGTACATGTAGATCTATATATCTAATATAATATAAATGTGTTGAGATATCTAATTCCAATCCTTGTAGCTCAATTATTTCATGGTCACATGAATGTTCTAGACAATATTTGTCAACGGCCCTATCCTCTTCTCTTTCCAATCAGCCTTCTGTTTCTACTTAATGTTTAGCATCCTTTGAATTATGGATTCAATGGTTCAAAAAGTTCAAGTAAAAAAGGGCTAAATATTATCAAGTTCTTTTCCAACAGGGTACTTGCATGATTCAAGAAATCACTTTGAAGAAACTTCAAACATTATTTTGTGAGACTTTTTACTCAGCATGTCTCAGATAGGTCATTTTATAGACCTCAATTTACTCCTCTTCTTATCATTATTATCAGCGTCCCTTTCTGATTGTTTTGTGCATTGGCTGCAAGTTTCTTGATACAAGGATGCATCACAACTTTGGCTTGCTCATGTAAGTGGGAAGTTGCAAATTCGATCTTGCTTGTAATCTCAAGTTATTAGTGCTTATCCCTTTAATTTAAAAAAAGAAAAACAAAAGAAATCTTGAACAGTGTTCATTTTCTAGTTTCTCATGTCATCTCCTTATTTTTCATAGGGTTGTATCCATGGGACTGTTCTGTTTAACTTGTATCTTAAGCATCTTACCTTTTGCTATCTAATATAATTGTTTTTTATTAAAAAAATTAAAATATATTGTTAAAAAGAAACATGGACCTTTAATTATTTTCTTAAGTGCCCATCAAGATTTTAAGGCATAAAAATAATTAATTGTCATATTTGTGATAAAGTTCTTAGCAATATAAACCATGATATTCAAAGCACTGAGAAAATTATCATCTATCTTGTTGTGGGGTATTGAAATTTTGTTAACAACAATTTCGCTATTTTGATTTCTCAGAAAATATTCAATTCGAATATGAACTACAAACATACAACCTTAGTGTACCAAATGATCCAAATTTTTATAACTTTAGTGAATTATGTAAAAAAATTCGTAGACGTTGGGAAGTATAGATTTTGTGCTTACAGAATACGAATGGCCATTTAAGTAAAGTTTTAGCAATACGATTAACTATTATATTTTCTTTTTCAGGAATCCGCGAAAAAAAAAGGACTGTGATTCTTAAAATATAGAATGTTTTCTATCAAAATATCATATCTTCGAATATGTGCAATTCCTAAACAAAGAATCAATAAGACCTTTATTAGTAGATTCATTTAATAAATACGCTTTCAATATCCATAGCAATTATTGAGTATATTTTTCGGTTGACGTTAAGTTTTCCGGGGAGCAAAATGTATATATAATACCATTATATACTAAAAGAAAATCCAAATCTCTGCCCCCGCTCGTGATTTGAATATTTTGCAAGATCTTCTGTTCACTGTTGTAAATTTTCAGGTAAAAAGACTCTAGTTAGTTTGGGTGGGAACCAAATCAAAATTTAAGAAGGCGTTTGGCAAACTTGTTAAAATTATTTTTGGAGCTCAAATCATGGTTTGGCCCAAAAAGTTGTCAAGCACCTCACATTTTTATGAAACCATAATTTGATTCCCAAATCATAATTTGATTTATCTAAATCATGGTTTCATAAAAAGCAAAAAAATGTTGCTTTTTGAAAATATGATCCTTTTTTTTTTTTTTACATTGTAATACTAACTCTAGTTCTTAATATAAAAGTTAGTCAACTAATTTGAATAGATTAAGAAAATTAATTCAGTTAGTTATTTATAATAATTAATTGTTGTTCCCTTAAATATTTTTCTAATAATGTGTATTACCTAGAAGTACTATTCGATAAAATATTTAACATATACAACTACTACAAGAACTATTTTAAAAAAATAGATAAATATGAGAAATAAAACAGATCAGGATTTTATGTTTAGGACCAAATTAAATATCAAAATAGCTTTTATATTAAAGATCGAAGGTAGTATGTTGTTGAAAAAGAACTAGTTGTAAAAAAATGTTATGGGATTTCATGTTTAAAATCTTTAAGGCAAAATAATATTTTTTGTTTGCAAAAAAAATCATTTTTCTAAAAACATATTTAATCTTATATTTTATAAATACATATATACATATTAATTATTTATTAATTACATTTTATATATATTATTTATTATGTTAGTAAAAAATAAATTATTAGCAAATTTACTACTTCAAATAAAATTATATTATAAAATCTATCTTTTATGTAATTATCAGATTAATTTATGTCCTTTTTAGTAATTTGTACATATAAAAAGTATTTCTGATAACAACTATTCTTAAAAATAACTTTTCTCAAAATCACTTCTTTTATAAAATCTATTATTCCAAAATCTATTCTTAAAAACAACTTTTCTCTCAGAAGTTATTCTCTAAACCATGGTTTGGTTTTATCCAAACACTCCCTAGAAAATAGTTTTTAGAAAATAGATTTTGAAAGAATATATTTTGAGAATAGATTTTGAAAAAATAAATTTTGTGAAAAAAGTGATTTTGATAAAATGAGCATGTTTAGATGATTATTATTAGAATATTTTTTTCATATGGAAATTACTAAAAATGACATAATTTAATCTGATAATTAGATAAAAACAGATTTTTAAAATTTATATATTTTTTAAATAATAAATAATATATGAAAATATAACTAGCTAATATTACCTTGGCTCCTTAATATATATATATATATATATATATATAAGCTAATTAGATATTCAATTTGATTCTAAATATAAGATCCGAATCTGTTTTGTCTCACATATTTATCTATTTTTTTTTATTTTTCAAACCATAGTTTTACACTTTCAAAAGCCAAAAAAAAAAATTCACTTTATAGAAAACCAAAGTTTTTTATCCAAACCATGGTTTTTAAGTTAAAAGTGATTTGACAAAAATGTTTGGCTACTTTTTCCCAAACTGGTGGTTTTCAATCAAAAAGAGATTTTGCAAAAAAGGTATAGTGTTTGGATGATACGATCCCAAACCATGGTTATGCTTTTGCTTGTTAGCCAGACATTCAGATCGTAAATTTCCATCATTAAAGAAAATTCTAAACCGCTATGTTTCTTTCTCTTTTAATTTGCTGAGAAACGAAAACTGTAGTGATTAGACCTTTGGTCTTTGATCAGTCTAACGAAGGAGACATCATGTTGAGAATTAACAACTTCAGTAAGCGAAGTTTGAATATTTTTATAAACTTGATGAGGTAGATGAGGTTATTAATGAAGAATCTAAACCATTCTCATTAAAATATCTAGTCTAAGAGGATTCAAGAGAAAATGATGTTGTGATGGTGTGTGTTATGGGCAGTAATTTGGCCGGTATTTGGATATTAAACTTAGGAACTTATTAACTAATTGTAAAGATTAGTGAAATTTGGTAAGTTTTATCTCGGCCTTCCCTTCTTGGATTTGCACTTCGGTATAAGAATGGTTGCTAGTTCTTAACAGTAATGCTACAATGAGGGGATAGAAAAGAATAAAAGCATATTCTTCTGTTAAAACAAATTGAATGTGTTGATATATTTTTTGGCACAACAAAAGAAAAATTTTATGTTATCTACATATTAGTATTACATTAGCCATATGTGATCATGATTTCAATCCATCGAGTACAAAGCAACCTTCAAAGAAGCCAACAGGACCAAATCAAAATAAGTAAGAAAAGATGGTAGTCCCTCCTTTAATTTCAATGTTTTTGGCCCCCATGGAGCCTGCCTTCTTTTCATTATCATTCTTTCTCTAGCTGACTTACTATCCCAAACATGAGATTAGTCACCTTGATTCTACCTTCTTGCCTCAAGATTGATTTCAAATGATTGTGCCCCATATGAATTCGCTTTCATGTCTGCGGAGAAATCTTTTTCATCTTCATGCACAATAAAATATGACTTGTAATATTTCAACCTCTCGTTGGAGAAGATTTTTGGCAAGTCTCAACTGAAGAATTATGATGGCTTCTCTCAAGTCTTCAAAGCACTAACTGTTGAACAAACTTTGCTTCCTTGGCAATTTGTCATTGAGTTGCTACCATTAGGTAGATATCTTGCAGAAGTTATGTCTGAAGATTGGTTGTTATTGAAATGATGTTGGACTTGCAATGGTGGGAATGTTATAGTTTCCCCCAAAAGATATTTGTGCATGACCTTTTAAAACTCTTCCTTGCTCCTGAGAAACAACTTTTGGTTTGGGAAAATGTTGAGAATCTAATGCTCTTCTTGAGCTCTTTGAATGGAAAGAAGGGCTAGAACTGTTGCAATGAGGAAAATTTTTGGACAAAAAGGAATTGCCTGGAAGTTCTGCGGCAGAAGTGTTATTGTTGGATGCTTTATATTGTGTAGCCATGGGAAGTTGTTGTTGCTGCTGCGCATAATGTTGCTTTTGAAGCTGAAGCAAATGTTGAGATCTCGAAGCATTACCGAAAAGAGGGGCATTTGATGTCATTGTAGTCGAAACCATTGAATGATCTAGCCAAGTTCCATTTTCAGGAGATAACACAAAGCTAAGATACTTTGATGAGTCATCAAAAACAAGGGTGGTAGGCCCACTGGTTGATGATTTCCCAGAATTGACTTTCTTTTCATCATCTTGATGGATAGAACTTGTCTGATGTACAGTATTTGTCTTCCATGCAGAATAATATCCTTGCCAAGCAACACTAGGTTGACTGTGAAATGATATAGCAAATGACTGAGAAGACACAAGCTCAAAACCACCCTTTAAAGCCTCTTGCTTCTTGCCTCCATTGCTATTTGATATTATAGATGACCTGAAGGAAAAGTCCTTGGGCTGAATTGGAATTGTCAAGTTTTGATTATACACATTCTTTTGACCAACAATAGATGGAGATTTCTCTTGCCATGTCTCAGCCATGAGCATGTGAGGATGAGACTGTTGCATTTGTGGTTCAGGAGATGACAACATGTTAATGGCTTTAATTTGAACACCACATGATTGCTTATGAGATGAAGATGATGACAAGCCAATTGAGGTACTTGAATTTTTTGCAGCAGAGATTGCGTCTGTTACTGATGAAAAGGCAAAAATACTCATTATTTACAAAATTTAGGTGGCCAAAGATCATTGTAGAAGTAACTGTTGACAAAGATATATGAATAGTTACCTAATGATGTAGAAAATGAACGGATGGAATTATTAGAAGAGAAAGCACAACTGGAGTTCCCACCTCTTGCATGACTAGTTACTACTGTTGCTGAATAATATGGTTGATGCTGGCCCAAAGAGAATATGAAAGCACGAGCTTGTGTCAACATTTTTAAAAAAGAGCACATCACTTTCAATATATTGTCCACCCAAATACATAAGCTTAAAGAAGACAAAAGCATACCTTTATGCATGGACCTTCTTGCTCCATTTGCATTGAATCCAGTGAGTTGCTAGCATCAGGGGTTTTATTTGTGCCAAGACTAGGAAATTTTGAAACAACCAGTTCCTTCTTCACTTGTGTAGCATTCTTTTTTGCACCAAGAAAATCATTTTGTAGACTTTCTAGAGTCGGCACATCATTAACATTGTTGGGCTTTGTGCCACATAAGGCGCTAGAATTGACTCTTAAAAGCTGTTGGTGCAAGAATATGTTACGAGCGATGTAATGATGGCTTGCACAGCGCTTTGATTGCTGTGGAGAAAGTACAAAATCCACAAGCTACTTGTTTGAATTACGCAAAAATGTTCAGTATCTGATTCTGATAGAGATGGTCATGAGAGTAAAAAATACAAGAGCTTAATTACTGATAGCTAAAGAAAAAGTTTTTTGTAGGAATGACCATACTTGCAGGGCTGTTGATGAAGATCCTATGGTTTTATCTGTCTTCATAGTTGGCCGCAAGGATGGTTGGACGTATCTATTGATCAAAGATATTGTTCTTAGAAAAGTCGCAATATCCACTTGAACAATAGCAAAGCAAATCAGGAAGGCATCAGAATGAGGAAAATAACAGATTCGTAAAAAATTAAAAGATCTCATACCCAGGTGGAGGGAGATTTCTTGACCATGCCGGTGAGACTAGAAAAGAAACAAGTTATACTTGAGAGACTGTAAATCAATAAATTGTGAAAGAACTGAAGTTGGGAGTTGGTACTACAAATCCACAAAGTAAAAATATGTCAAGTTACCAGTTTTGTTCACTTGGTGGTTTGTCAAAATGCCATTATCCTTGTTTGGCACGTTTATATCAATCTTTATTGCATCCTGGTTTTTCTTAAACGTGTCCATCTTCGTCTCCTCCTTATCTTCAATCTTGATGTTATTTCCATATTTTCGCATCAGAACCTTGATAAGTTGTTGTGCACAGCATATAGTAAAGTTTGTCATGAACGATTTAGATTCTAACTCTACTTACCAATTCTACTTCTAGTGCCGAAGTTCTAGTTTCTCGGGATAACACTGTAGGACAAGCAGGAGCCTGTTCAAAGGAAGTCATCAAACATTTAGAAGGAAAAACAAATGAAAGTAATCAAAATCAGAATAAGAAATATTCTCACCATCAGGTCGATGGATTCCAAATTGACTTGCTTAATGTCCTTGTTTGGAGCATATGGTTTAGTATCATGACCGTTAGTATAATCATCAGCTTTTTCCCTTTCAGTTTTAACCAACTCTGAAGTTGAACTCTTTGAAGCCAGATCAACCTTCTTTTTTTCTATCAGTAAATTTTAAGTAAAACTCGTTAGCGGTAAGAAGCAATAAATTCAATATAAGAAAGAAGAAAACGACGTATTTGATCTCAATGTTCAAACCACCAACATCCATGGATTGATAAGAATTAATACTTTTGGAAAGAATTAAATTGAAGTCTTACCATACGCACCATTTGTCTCGATCTTTCCTGATGTATCCTGATTTCTGCTGGTCTTTAACCCATACAAAAGCTCAGCTATCTCAGTTTCAATGTGATCTTTAGTTGCTGGAGAGGATTTGGATGTCTTCAAGAGGCGCATCTGGAATCCAATAGATTTGTGCAGCATGCAGCTTAGTACTAAGTGCCCCATTTTTTCCTAGAAAAGTAAAAATGACAGAAAAGTAAGTTAAAGTGCATACCTTTCTCGGAACTGAATTATTTGATGAACGAGCCTTCTTGGGAACTACAACACCCATTACTCCATTGTTTCTGTGTTGATTATGATCTGATGCGAAAATCCTATGAGAAAATTCACAATCTTGTTCATTTCCTACACTTTCTTTCCTTTGAGGATCTCTTTTCCTCTTGCTTGTAGGGAATGAATCTCCATTATGATCAATCTCAGGCCTTAATTTCACTGTCTCCTGCAAGTCCACTTTTTGTCCTTCCTCTATTTTTGTGATAAAATAGAAAATCGCAAATAGAGATAACATATGAGACAATATATAGAAAAGGAAGTAGGATGAGGAGAAGAGTGAAAGGCGATCATACCAAAAGATGAATCTTTGAGATCAAAACTTTGATGCTTTCGTCTAAGGATACTTGCTTCTCTGGTTTGATCCATGAGCTTGGAGTTCTCATAAAATCACTCTGATATTAAAGATCACAGTGACTTTTGTAACTATGTGCACGTCTAAAACAACTTTAGTTTGCCAAATGTGAAAGTTAGTTTGTCGTAGGAAAAATTTTTTTGTCTCTGCAAATGTAATACAAAAGTAGTTTGCTTCAACATGTTAACCAAATACTCCCTATGGTCTTTAATATAAGAGCTAGTTTGATATTCAATTTGGTTATACATATAAGACTCCAATCCACTTTATCTTTCATATTTATCTATTTCTTTTTAAAAGTAGTCTTTGCAGTAGTTACACATATTAAATGTTTCATCAAATGGTAGCAAAGGTATTTTAGGGAAGATAATACTTATTTATTACAAATAACTAACTTAACTAATTTTATTATCTACTCAAATTAGTTAACTATCTCTTATATTAAAGATAAGAGGTAGTATATTATTAAAATCAAAGAAAGAGTTTTAAAAGGATAATTGGCGTCTTAAAAGGTTTAACCAAATAAGCCTTCCTTCTTCTGGCACTTATTATAAGGCAAAAAAATAGATATATATGGTCTTGATTATAAGTCACCAAGTCATCAAGAGATAATAATATTTTTTCAAGATTCCTCTATTTAAATTTTCATTATAATTTCAACTTCTTCAACTTCTTGAATGTAATTCATAGTAAAAAATATGGCTAAATTTGGAAGTTCACTTCATTTTTAGACAAAATTAATGACTTAACTACTATTACAAGTACAAGTTCAAAAAGAGAGCTCAATCTAAAAAATTAGCCTCGTGGGTGGGAGACCTTTTTGAAGAATGTAGGACTCGTAACAATAAACCTTATCGAGAGCTAATATCTTTAGTGGCTACACAACATGGTACTTCACTCGGCTTTTTGCCGATCAAAATCATTTGAGAGTAGCTCTCTATCAACACTGGTCACTGAACAAAATTACCAATATTACAAACCCAAGTCTACAAAAAGAGCCGAGTACCAAAAGACTGGCTTCTTGAGCGCCAAAGCCCTTTGAATCATGTGAGACTCATGACAATCACCTCTCCTTGATTTTCATGAAGTGGATAGAGGATCCCCCACTACGATATCTCTAAGAGTTTGAATTTTTTATCTGAACGAAAGGCATTAATGGCGGATACGACATATCTTTTTCTTGAAATTTGGGGCAAACTAGTCTGATATGGCACGCTGGTCAACCCCCTCTTGTTTTTCAGAGGAATCGTCGAGAATTTACGATGAGCATTGTGGCGTTTATTGCTTAATATTATTCTAAATTTATAATGAGATCTAAATGTTTAAATTAGATTTAAATGATTCATATAAAAATCCTATATATTGTGATTCGGAATCGGATGGTCAGTATTGTTGGAAAGATATAGCCTTTACAATTATGACATCAAAAAGGTGATGACCCATAAAAATTTGATTATGTAATTATATATTCTGTTTCTCCTCTTCTTTATTATCTCTTTGCAAACATTTTATATACAGTTGATTTTGTAAAGTAAGACTTGCTGGTGGTGGGAGTCGTTGAGTATCCTGTTACATTTTGATTCTTGAATTGGTGAGCTTATCTCTCTAGTCTAGTCTAATTTGTCTAGCTCTATCAATAATAATCTCCTAATGCACCAAATGTATTATAAAAAAAATATTGTTGGATAACTTAATTATTTATTGAAACTTCTCTAGGTTTGAATATATTGAAATTTATATAATTTTTATTTTACTAAAATGATGGGATTTGCTCTGATTGTGACTTTTTTTTTTAACTTTTGAAATTCAAGGATGCTCTGAGATGTGTAAATTAAATTAGGATTGTAATAGTTTGGCCTCTTATATTTTTGAAAAATTTCAAAAAAATACTTTTAAAACTTTAAAATCCCAAATCAGGAATGATTATAAAAATATGTTATCATTTGCTTTTCAAAAGTAACTAATTACTGTTAAGGTATAGTAAACAAGATTGACTTGAAATTTTAAGATTTCAAGGTGTTTTTTTTAAGGATTCTCCCCCTTCCCCCCTTTAGATTCCCTTAATATAGATCTATAAATCAAAGTGTCAATAGAAGTTCTTGGTATAATCAATATATATTTTTTAGAAATATAAAAAGGTAAATTACCTGTCCCCCTCTTAATATTTAAAAATGTACTTATTCTTGTAATATTTAAGACTAAAATACACAAAACCCTCTTTAATTTTAGGCTAGTTGACCACCACCCCCTTAATTTTTAAAAGTTTAGAGGAGTGTTTAGATGGAATTAAAACCATAGTTTTAAAAGTGCTTTTACTGTATACGAAGTAAGAGAGTGTTTGGGTAAAAACAAAACCATGGTTTCATAAATGCTTTTACGGTATACGAAGTAAATATGTGAAGGAGTTTGTCTCGATTTGCGAAAAAGTACTTCTAAAAAGTGATTATGGAGTGTTCCAAACACCTCCTAAATATGTGAAGAAATTTATTTCGATTTGCAAAAAAGTGCTTCGGAAAAGCACTTTTTAGGGTGCCCAAACACCCCTTAAATTAAGAATCCATGTTTCATATTTTGACTATTAAATCTCCTACTGTTAACAATTTTCACCCGTTCATAATTTTTATAGTTTTTATCATACAATATTTATTTAAAAAATAATATTCAACATTTGATATGTAATTTTACGTATTTTTATATTTAACATAAAATATTTGCACAATATAAATAATTAAAAATATTTAAAATATTCATTTGACCATATCTTTTTTTCAAATACCAAAATATAAAATAATTAAAATTATATGTCAAACGCTAAATATTAATTTTTTAAAACGATATGATATATGCAATAAAAATATACAAATTACAACATGTAAAAAATCATTAACTTTAATGATGATATAATGGTAGTGGAGTTGATAGTCAAAACATAGTTGGCAAAAAAAAGATAGTCAAAACATAAAATATTAGGGTTTTTAATTTAAGCTTTTAAATGGTATATCGGTGATGTGCAACTAACCTAAAATTTAGAAAACCAGTTTCAATGCTTATTGCAGTGATGAGCAATGAAATCTAAACCATTTAGATACAGTCTTAATGGTCTATATTTAAAGCTATCAACTAGTTTTTTTAAATAAAAAATCATTTTTAAAAAACTTACGGTGAAGAGATTATATGTAGTTTATATTATGTACCGATTAAAGAAAAATGTTTTTAAAAAAAATATTAAATATTAAATTTGAATGGGTAAGAATTGATGACTATCATGATACTGATTACTGTGATGAGTACTGAAAGTGGTTCCTAAAGTTTAGGAGAGTTTTATGTATTTCAACCTAATATTTAATTGAGAGTAAAAATAAAAAATAATTTATGCATACTACGTAGATTTTATTTTATTTTTTTAAATTTCTGAAAGTCAATTTGTTTACAGAAGTGCTAAAGTATACTTTTAGTTCTTTAACTTTACACAAGATTCATTTTGGTCCCTTAACTTTAAAAAATAAACTTTTAATCTTTTAATCCTAAAATTGTTAACAAAAAATGATGATATTGAGTTTTTAAATATTGATAAAAAATTATTAAATACCAACATATTAAGTTTAATTTTCAAAACAACAATGATTGTTACAAAAAACTACCATTTAAGACTAAAGATTTTAGGGTTAAAAACTGAAAGTATACTTTTTAAAGTTAATAAACTAAACTAAAATTTTATATAAAGTTAAAGGATTAAATATATACTTTAGGCTCTACTACTTTGAGAAATGAAGTAAATAATACTCTCTTTGAATTATGATTAAAATAAATGCGAATTGAGTACTTATTTATTTCAAGTACTAATATATGCGACGAATAAATGCTTTTAAAGATCAATCAACATCCCCTGCATTTTCCTAATCTTATTCTATTTGAACTAAATGAACAGATCATATTTGTCAAAAATGATGAAATGACGAGCTAGTTGGAGTTTGCGAGAGCATCCAGGGTAGGTATTATCATAATTTTAATACTGTTATTAGGGATGTTAATGGGAGGGGACGACCCCATCCTAGTCCCGTCCTAGTAATTGGAATGAGATGGCTTTTCTGTCCCATATTCCATCTCGTCCCAATAATAACTGAAACAGAATATGAACATCCCATCTCTTCTTTTTTTTGTAATTTTTATTTTTTTAATTTGAAAACTAACTATACAAGAAATGTAAAAACTTATAATAAAAACTATGTGAGGAAAATAGAAAAAAATGACAAAATATTAACAAAGAAAAATGTCTTTTGTAAATATGAGAGACCAAAAATAAACAAACCTAAAATATTTACTACAAAGAATATTATGTAACTCATACAAAAACAACTTATAAACAAATAAAAAATAACAATTGATAAATATCATTACCAAAATATTATTACAGTGGTAAATAAAATAAATATATGACAACTAAAAATAAAGATAATATATTGGGACGGGATCGGGACTAGGACGGGACACTCCCGTCCCGCATCCCGTCCCGTCCTGCTTTCATCCCGTCCCAAAAGCTTTTGGGACGGAACTGTCCCATCTCAAAATGACTGAGACAGGAATGGGACACTGGGATGGGACACAGTTGAACACCCCTAATTGTTAAACTCAATTAGAATAAATTCTTTTTTTTTTTAAATTATAAGATTCAAATCTTTCACATGAATTCAATCCAACTATAATTAATTTTTTTTATTTCCTTTCATTCTATTTGAAGTTTTCTTTCGGTTTGGGTTGTAAATTTTGACTTGAATAATAATATTAATTTCTCCCTTCGCCAAAAAAATCAATTTTCTATTTTTTTAATTCATATCATGTGTATATTAGTAAGTACTTGATTCTTTCAATTGCTACGGAAGGACAGCATCTTTCATATAATGCTTTCAAAATATTTTACGTTCTTTAAAATATTACTTTATTTGCACTTACAGATTAATATTTTTCAAGTGATATATATCACCAGGAATCATTTATAAATATAAATAGCCTAGAAAGCAAAGATAATTTAAATTAATTATTTTTTTAATAAATTATATTTAATTCATATCCCAACTGACACTAAATACCTCATTTAAGACTTTTTTTCTTATGTATGAGGTTGTGAATTTGAACCCCTTAAAAGTATATAATGGGTGAGTGAGTTGTAAAAAAATAATACTCATATGATTCTAAATGTAATACCTATTTTATATTGTACAAAATAAGTCTTATATTTAGGATGGGAAAGAATATAAGTATAAATATTAAAAAGTCCTAACACCATTAATAAAAGAGAAGGAGATGGAATAAAAAAGGGTCAACCAGAGGTTCCATTTGCCTAAAAACACTAAAGAACTAACATTGTGAACAAACCAATTAAAAGAACAACAAAAGTTTATTAAACCAAGTTAGTGTCAATCTTTTCTAAATTAAAAACATTAGAATTTAAAAGAGAATTAGATGGGAAAAAAGAAGGGGGGAAAAAACGTTTTTGAGAGAAACAAATAGAGTTTACCTCTACGACTTGTGCTTCTTAGCTCACTTGTAATAATGCCCTTAGTGATTTGCTCCGGTTGGAAGTCACTAGTTTCTGCAAAAACCGGAGATTGAATTTGGCTTCGAGTTCTGCTACAATACTAATTATCAAACATTCAAAATTCAAAGAGATGGGAAGAAATTATCATTGAAGATAATATATATATATATATATATATATAATTATCAACCTATCATTTGTTTTTGTAAGATTTATTCTCCAGCAGTACAAGACTAAGACTCTGTTAAAAAAAGTTTTCAAATCCGTCCTTGGTGGATAAGCCCAAACCCACTATAAATGAGATACCAATAAGAACAAAGAGAAGTACTGCCTCGCACCTTAAATATAAGAACTAGTTACTAATTTGAATAAATTAAAAAATAAGTTAAATTAGTTATTTGTATAAATTAGTGTTGTTTTTCCTAAAATAATATTGCTAATCAAGTTTATTAGCTATAACTACCATTAGTACAAGGACTATCTCAAAAAAAAAAATCGATAAATACAAGAAACAAAGTGTATTAGAGTCTTATATTTAAGACCAAAATAAAAATTAAGATTGGGACTATTGAAAGGGACTAATCCTCCACAACATGGTGAGCCAAGATTCAAATCCTTAATGGGAGATGTGTTTACATTTAGTACTCAATAGTACCTCAATTAAGATTGTCTCTAATAGGAGAACATCTACGCCTAACCAAAAAAAAATAAAAAAAGGCTTTTTCTGCGCTCAACCCTCTCCATGTTCCTTCATCGATCGGTGCTATTTGCTGGGTAACATAAACTCTCTTAAAAGGACCGACCCTTCACTCTTCACAACAAAGTTTGTTTCATTTGCAAATTAAAGCTTAAAAGTCGAACTCCTACCTATTTGCTTAAGACGTAAAAACTTTATTCTATGTTACTCAAACAACCTATATAGTTTTAAAAGCTGAACATGGTATAACCAAACCTGGATCAGATTAGACAGACAAGTAAAGAAGAGAATCTATATACGAGTTTCCATATTGATCAGGAAACTCTTATGAACTATATGTGTGAGGAACAAGCAAAAAAAGGGAAGAAAGAAAGAAAAAGACAAATAATAAATCGAATATAATAATACGATAGAATTTAGAAGACAAAGGAATTGAACCTGTTCTTCTTGGCTCACTGTGTGGACGCCATGGCTGTTCTCAAAGCTTTTTCTCTTGATTTAGGTGATAGAACGAAAGTTATTTGGGGGGGGGGGAGATATTGAGACTCAAAGCAATTATATAGAGCCATTATATTGTATTGTACACGATCGAGGGATTAAAAAAATGTCCAAGACATGAGAAGCAAAGAGATATTATTTTCAAAACGAACTTGCTTTATTTTGATTAATTAATTATTATAATTTGATTGATGGATTATTGCGGTATTGTTTATTTCAAATCATATTAGGTGCACATGATGATGATGCACTTCATAATTAATTTAATTTGTGGCTTTATTTATTTTATTTGTCATAAAGCTAGCTAGCTCTCTTCCCATGGTCATCTCCCTTTTTGTATGTGAGGGAAAGCAAAAATTGGATTTCAATTGTGTAAACATTTTATAAGTGACGTTGATCAATTTCTCAAAAAAGGTTAAATTGTTAATTGGGTTAAGGTACAAGTATTTTGTCAATTATATCTAACACCCTAAGATATTTTGTGATGTATACAACATCCAAATTTGTAATGTAATTTTACTGTTAAAATATTAATTTTTTTCCAAAGCAATTGTGCTGTATGATTTTATGAATAATTTTAACTTTGATATTAAATCCTCAAAAGGGTCGTTAAATGAATATACTCCTTCGGTCCTAAATATAAGACCCTTATACACACTGTGTATAAGGGTCTTATATTTAGGACCGGAGGAGTATATCAAGCACTATAAATTATTTTTTAGTATATTTTAGAATGCTAGATATATCTAACAAAATACTTTAAGGTACTAGACATATCTTAACTCTTGTTAATTTAAAGCATTGATATTGACTTTTTTAGTCATATTTCTTCTTGTCTTAAATGTATGAATTAGTTGGAAAGGTAATCTTGGTTCTAAATTTAAAACTTAAATAGTTAAATTCATATTATCATTCAAATTTATTATTCTTTTCTTAAACTAATCCTATTTTTTTGGCCTGCAAACTAATTCTATTATTACCCATATTAAAAAGAGTTTTTAATCAATAAGGTAGTTTTCAATGTAAATGATTAAACTGAATATTTTTTAAAAAAATTCACATATTTTTACAGACAACTAATTTCATAAATTAATTATTTAACTGAAAAATTTAAGATGGGAGGGACTAGGGAGTAACTTTTTTCTATTGGCCTACATATACAAATAGAGCTCGGAAAACAGGCCGGTCCGGCCCTCTAGAGCTGATGGGCTTAAAAGTGCTAACTCTACAAGGTCAAAATTTTAAAAATACCCTAATTTGATAGCCCTGACCCTTAAGTAGACAGGCTTAGGGTCGACCTGTGGGCCCGTTTTAAAAAAATATTTTATTTTTCATATGTTTTATCAAAAAAATAAAAATAAACTAATAAAATTACTAGTAAAAGACATAAATATGAATAAAATTAAGTCACAAATACAAAAGATCATTATATTTAAATGTCCATCAACATAAAAAGTTTCATTAAAAGTAGACAAACGGTTTCACTAAAAAAAAAAAAAGTGGACAAACACTATCATCGCTATCATCAATTGTAAAAATATTTGATTGTGCTTCACTATTAATAGGCTCTTCTTAACTTCTAAAAATATCAATGATTTCTTCTCAATACTATTTAGTTATGCTGGAGTCTAATATGTCTTTTTTCTGTCTTTTTGAATTGAATTTTTTATCCACCAGTAAGTTTATTTTAAAGTATCAATGTTAAGTTTGTTTTAGAGGTTTCAACTTAGCAATCATTGGGGATTGATTCTGTGTTATCTACTTACTACCTTTGGTCCTAATTATAAGACTTCATTTGTAGTCAAACAAAGTCTTATAATTAGGATCGGAGGTAGTATTTTTTTTTTTTCCTTTAGGCTCTAACTTTGCTGCATAGTCTCATAGAAAGTCAGAAATATCTTAGCACTTTGGATTGATTCATGGTATGCTTTTCATGAGCTAACTATATCATCTTTTTTTTTTTGCTTTTGTTGAGTCATTTTTGGTTTTATCTAGCTCGCTTGTCTATCTCTATTTAAATATAGAGTAAAAATTATGATATAGTTACTATAGAAAAAGTGTGAACTTATTTTTTAAAATTTTATAACATATATACAAATGGAGACATATCTGTTGGTTCAATCATTAAAATTTTTGTTTTAATATGGGGAATATATTTTGTTTATTGTAATATATAAATGTTGGTTCAAATAAATACAAATTTGAAATCTGATTTAGGATATAGAGAATATATTTTTATTTATTTTAATATCATTAGAGATAGAGGTGTAAACTGAGAATGAGTAAAAGACTGAAAGTAAAACTTAGATAGGAAGAGTGTATAAAATGTTACAGATTTATGTTAGGGTCAAGAAAAGAAATTATTGTTGACAGGTTTAAATAAGTTGGCCCGTGACCCTATAAGGCTAGTTTTTTTATTTTTTGAACCCTACAGAGCTGGTTTTTTAAGTTCAAATTTTCTTTGAAAACCCCAAATTGCTCTATACACAAACACACAAGTTCTTTAAAGACAATATCAGAGTTTAATTTAACTTCTAAACGTCCAGTTAATAGTTTTCTTAATTAAGGTGCACGCTTACGCATCAGGTATTTTGTCATGGGTAGCAGACACCATAAATATTCTTTCGGGGTAAAAATACGCATAAATTTTTTAAATGGTACAAAAATGTCATCCGTTAAGTCAATTAATGTTAATCATTCAACAAACATGTTAATTAAAAAAATAATGCTAAAATACGCATAAAATTTTTAAAATAGTGTGAAAATATACATAAAATTTTCAATGATCATAACATTTTTACACCATTTTCTTTATATATATATGTTTGCTAAATGGTTAGCATTGGTTGATTAAATGGCTGCGACATTTTTATACTATTTTATTAACTTTATGTATACTCTTACACCCAAAATTTTTTTATGGTTTTAGATGCCTATGATAAAATACTTCACAGGTACTTTTACACCTTAAACCCCTCTTTTTGTTTTTTTCTTTTACAAAAAAAAACCTACCACCTCTCATCCCTAGTATAAAAGCTAATTGGAGATTGAATTTAATCTTAAATATAAGATCTCAATCTACTTTATTTCTCAAATTTATAATATTTTTCTAAAATATCTTTATTAATTGTAAAAGATTTCTAAAATGATAGTTCCAATGCATAAATTAAAGAAGATAATCTAGGAAAATCAGCACACATTTTTTTACAATTAACCAACTTATTTAATTTTTTTAATCTCTTCAAATTAATTATTATGTTAGTAGTTAATATTCAAAAAAGGTCTCCATTATTTTCTTGGAATGGATCTTTTTTTTTCTCTTGATATTTACACAATAAAGAAAGGTATCTTTCAATTGGTTTGCATATCAGCTTTGTCTAATTAGATTGTTTCGAAGAATTTTTTTAATACCGATCAGGAATAAAAAACAATTTTTATACTAATTGAAGACAAGGGATGTACTTCTCTAATGACTAAATGTATATATTTTTAGGATGGCAAAAAATTATATATTTTTAGTCTAAAAGGATTGCCAAACGACTTTGTCAATATTAATTGTTAAATAAATCATCGATAAATGTTATCTTCAATCCTTGCATGTGGACAAGAGAAAGAAGGATTATTCTAATGAAATCAAAGCAAGCTGTACGCATATTTTTGTTTTCCTCGACATCCATTAATACTAAAATTTTTTAACAAAAAGTACATGTTATCTCTATATTTTATTTTTAATAAAGTAAATGCTCGAAGAAAGGTGTACTATTAATTCATAAAAAAACTTCATTTAAATTTATTAAATTATAAAAACAGTAATGGACAAAAGCTGGCCGCATTAAGTCTCCGACACTTTTATTATTTCT